CCGGAAAAGGGGCCCGGGGGAGCCTCTGTCCAGTTTCTCAGTGTCGAGCCGGTTTCACCAGGGGCCCCTTGGCCTGGCGCTGGGCAGGCAGAGCTGGTGTGGGGTTCAGACGCGCTGAGCGGCGCCTATTAACCACTCCCCTCCACTCGCGCGTCCAGTGTTACAGGCACTGCCGCCGGGACGGGGTCGCCCAGACACCTGCTTCTGCAGCCCGTCCCTCCGGCCAGGCGTGGGGGAGTCTGGCCCCGGGGGTCTGCCCCTCACGCGCCGCCCACTGCCCTCCGCAGACCATGCATAGCAGGGCCGGGACCTCCAGGCGGCACCCAGGGGTCACTGGGCGCTCCCGGGGCAGGCAGCAGGCAGGAGTCTGGGGCTGCAGGTCCTGGCCAGGCCTAGACGCTGGACTCCGGGTCGGGCGCGTTCTCTGCGGCCGTGTTGAGCTGGTGCTTGCGGATCTTGTGGGCGCAGTAGTACAGGCAGGCCCCCCCCAACAAAACCGCGGGCAGCAGGACCAACAGCAGGTAGTTGGGCTTGGGATCTGTTAAGGAAGAAGGGGGCAGACTGAGGAGGGCCACGCAGTGGGGGAGCCTAGTGGCTAGAGCTGTGGACAGTGGCCTGGGGCGCAGGACACCTGGGTTCTATTCCCCTGAGTGCTGGCCTCGGGGAAACCACTCAGCTGCTCTGTGCCTCAGTTTCCCTTTCCCGTCTTTGTCTGGGCGGGGCCCTGATCCCGGCTGGCGTTCTGTCGTGTTGCACCCAATTAAGACGAGGAGGGGTTGGGACGGGGAGGAGCCCGAAAGCCACCAGGTCTCAGGAAGCTGGACCCAGCCCTGCTCTCTGGGGCAGGAGGGACGCTGGGACCCACAGCTGGCACCGAGCCTGCGTGCCTCAGTTTCCCCTTCCAGTCTTTGGGCGGGGCCCTGATCCCGGCCGGCATTCTGTTGTGTTGCACCCAATTAACACGGACGGAGCCTTCAGTAATGTGGGCTCCTAAATCCCATGGGCTGTCAGTGGGATTTTACTTTGCTCCACTTTGCTCCTAACCCCAGAGGGGCCTTTGCAGAGCGCCCAGCCAAGGCCACTTACGCTCCACGTGGACGGTCACCTCCCGGCTGGAGACGTAGGTCCCGGCGTCCTCGCTCCCGACCCGCCGCGGCGCCGTGGTGCTGACCTGCCGCCCGTCCTTCGTGCACGCCACGTCCGGTGGGGGGTTCCCCAGCGCCGCGCAGGACAAGGTTTGCTCCGTCCCCGCCGCCCACGTCCGGTTCCCGGGGCAGCCGGAGTCGTCCAGCCGGGGCCCGTCTGCAAGTGAGGGGGGTGGTTACGGTGCCCAGTGCCGCGGGGCCCCCTCTGCCCGCCCAGGGGCTGTGCCAAGGACAGGCCCTCCCCAGCCACAGCACTGGGTGCCCCGAAATCAATCAGCCTCTGCCAGGGCACCCCTGGGAGCCTGGGCCTGCGCCAGTCCCCAGCTGGCCTCAGCTTCCCCATCTGTAAAATGGGGCCAAGGAGCCTTCCTCTGGCTGGCTAGTCTGGGCCCAGGGTGCAGACACCTCTGAATGACCCATCTG